TGATAATAAAGAAAGTAATTATAAGAATAGATCTGGTACATGTACCAGTCAGTGTGGGTGTGGAACCAAGGATCGCAATCAAGATAAAACACCTGAATGCGATGGAAGAGAACAGGTTAGCAATAGAAATGTGCTCTGGCTCTTTCCAGTACTCCTAGCACGCAAAATATCAAAATCGTGAAAAAGCCTTGAAACCGCAAGATTTTTCGGACTAATATTTGATTGGAAAGACTGTTTAGTCGAATTCAAATTGCACTGAGATGATTATGGTAATCATGTTAAAAAAATCTTTTTAAACAAAACACACTCTGAGCAGAGAAAACAAGGATTTCTGGAAACACAGGCAGGTTTGAGTGCCCTGAAGGATAAAACATCCCCAGTCGACCAGTCATACTCGTGGATTGTAAATTTTTTCATAAACAGGTAAGTAGCAGTTGCATTCCCATGATTTATTTCGTTGGACCATCCGGTTCGAAATTTCAATTCCTATTGATCACCCTCTTTTATTTATTTTTTTTTATCTGCAGAGCTCGCATTCGTTATCTTTTATCAGACTAAAAGTGCAAACTCTTTCTTTCTGTCTTTAATCTTTAAGTCAAAGGCTCATCAGAGATTTAGATGTACAACATATAAACATGATAAAGAGTACAGAATAAATATTATATAAACAGAAATACACAAATACATAACAATCTTTTTCATTATTATTTACTGCATTTTTTTGTAAATCCCCAAAATTTGTTGAAAGAGCTTATTCGGAATAATCTGTCTTGCTGCGAATTTTACATACAATCGAGGGTTCAAAGTGATACTTATTTGATATTATCGCGCCTACTTAAATATTCATTGAAATTAATTTAACATGAACATATTTTCAGATGTTTTAAACAAAGGAAATGCATACACACATATAACTATATATTACATCATTTAAATGCACCCCCTACTTTTTATCCCAACATTTCTTTTACTATTAAAAATGTAAATTGAAATTTTAGTCACACAAGTACACTTCTATCATAACACAAATTACCGTGAAAAATGGGTTGTAATACATTTTATGGATTTGCACTATTTGGCTTGGAAAGATAGCAGATACAAGCTCTGACGATAAAAATAAATCTAATTACTTTTGTATGAGAAGATGGATTTGGTTAGAAGGGATTAAAATGCTGATAACCGATGAGAGTTTAACTTTAAACCTGGATGGTTCTCAAAGATTAATCATTGATAACGAACGCAAGCTCTAAGGATTAAAGTAATTAAAGAAATACTAAAATATGCATGGCATGTACGGGAGTATAAAAGTAGCTCAATGAGACAGTGGCAAGCTGGATTTTGTCTCTTTCTGGTTGCATTTATACAGGTAAGATTATTTTTTAGACTTGCGTGCGTTTTAGTCAAAATTATTTAATTTTTACATGGCTTATTTTATTTACAAGTTAAACCTTTTATATAATAAGTTGTTATAGATTCAATATGGTTTAGTATCTTTTGTAAAATAATTAATTGTAATTATCAATATTAAAAAGAGATTATGTACTTAAATAAAAAGTTGAAAGCTGGATTTTGTCTCTTTCTGGTTGAATTTATGCAGGTTGGGTAACATCGCCACTCCCCATAATCTGTAATACCCTACACATGCAAAAAAAGAAAAAAATATATCCGAGGGAGATGAGATGCAAACTTGGACATTACGAACCTAATGAACTTTGTCTGGTAAGGACCTGGGAATCGGAGGAATGCTTTCCTTGGCCTTTAACACCTCTCACATACTAAAAGAACAGATTGATCCCGGAGTTTACAACCAGATCCAGTAACCAGACAAAATGATATAAAAGTCAAAAACAACTAACAAAACAAACAAAATACCAAAAAGACCCTTTTTTACAAAACTTGCATGACAAGGAAACAGTTGCATATTTTAAAATTTAAAAACAAACATTATCTATAAAAATTTGTTTCTTTGACCTCACAAAAATATTTATTCCGGAATTTTCAACTTTTTTTTTTATTTCAGAAATGCATTCAACTTTATTCAACATTGAAAGTTTCCGACAAAAAAATTCGATCTACCTTTATCAACGCAATTATTTTAACCCGAATAGTGAGATGGCATACAAATTTCATTTCAAAAACAGCCCTACGGGAATTTTTAAGCACGACTGTACATCTTTAATAATATACACTTAATTATAAAAAGGAAAAATCAAAAAGACACTTGATGGAAATTAATTTCTTAAAGAATGAACTACATCAAACCACACCCAAAAATCTTCCTTCTAGCATGATATAATTTCCTTGTTTCGCTGGGAAGGACTCTCGAGTAGGCGTTTTTACGTCGCTTTTACCTTGTTGACTTCAGACACGTGTTTTGACGTTACGCCATAATATAGATAAAGGAGAGGTTTTTGCTTGGTGCATCACATTTAAATCTAAGTACTATTACTTCTGACTTTGAGTAGGTTTTAAAATTTTCATGCACTTTTAAAATAATTTCCAATCTTTTGCATAATCTTTAAATCTTATTTGTTGTAGCTAATTTATCCAAATATCCTCTGGTCACTTCAATACTCTTCAAAAATATACCATAGAAGGGACTCTGTCTATCCTTTGATAAACAGGAAATTTATACATTTTTTAAATCCGGTGATGTTGATACATTCAAGGTTGTTTTTCCGACCTCTGACGGAAAGACCCGCGATGATGCGATTGGTGGCATCAACTGACCCGTCAGGAGCAAGCGCCATGGTGTCTATTTAAGGAAAAGTACCCAATAACGGCCACCTATCGACCAGGAGATCAAGGTAAGATACTTAGATACCTTTAAAATTCCGGAGATAAAATTCATATAGTTGCTTAAGGTTTGTAAAATAATATTTCATAGATTGCTATACACCTGGCCTCGCCTGAAAAGTGGAAGGATATATAGCAGTCGGGATTTCCGCCCGTCTGTACGTCCGTCCGTCTGTTACGCTTCATCTCTTATCCGCAAGTCCTTTTATACTACTGAGTGATATTTAATGAAACTTACACATAATTTTAATAACAAATTGTCATTGTACACCTCCTATTTTACTTTTTTATTCGCCAGGTGTTTTAGGTTTCCCATAGCAAAACATGGACATTGCCATTATATGTTATATCTACCCATGACGTCACATATAGATGCTTCTGGATAACATTTGATAGGAGTTAATTATTATTCCTTTTTACACACTATCGTAAAACAATATATAACAACACATGGACATTGTGGGAGGTGGGGGTATCATTAAGTGAGCTCATTCCTCACAGTACCTCTGGTTTAATCTATATATACTTCAAATATAACATGCATATTTTTACACAGAAATTACATTTTTTTTCCTGAACACGGCTTTTTAGTATGTGCGAAAAATATATATTAAATACGCAAATAAATCCGAAAATATAAAAAAGAAGAGTAAAAAAAAGGCTGTCTATGGATGATCCATTTTTATACTTGCTTTAAAAAACTATAAATGATTGAAATCGTTCAAATACTTAGGAAAGTAACTTTCCAGATCTGCATTATCCAGTTTCGAACACATGCCTTAACATTTTATATAACTAAACCCTTAATTTAAACAATTATTGTGTTTTTCGTTGTCAATGGAATACATTCTCTTCCTGGGGAATAAATATTTGGCCGAGCTCGAAATGCTAACAGAATGATGTAAATGTAAATATATTTAACGATGGTTAAATGTGATGAAAAGGACAGTTAATTGTAATAAATCATTTATCGTTGGATCAAAAACATACTAGTTCAGCCAACCTTTTTTAAGTTTTCTATAGATTTGCTGAAATTTAGCCCTGAGAAACACATAGATTCACTATACAGTAAAAAAGAAACAATTCTTTTAACAACAAAACATTTTATTCATAAAGTTTAATTTATAGCGAGCGCAGCAAGCGTCGCGAAGCGACGCTCGCGAAGCGAGCTCAATAGACTAACGTGTAAGAACAGAGGAAATTCGGATTGAAATCTATACATACGTCAGCCAAATTTCTCTGTGCAACATTCCCAGAATTCCTGCACTACCCAATGTCCTTTGCGCGAATATTGCCGAATAAATAAATAAATAATGACGTAAAGCATATATCAGACTTTCAGTCTGTAGAAATCTTTCAAAGAAACAAGAAATAACAATGTTTTTCGATAAAAAATGCACAAGTTCTATAATTTCAAACAGATGCTCGGCTGTCTCCATAAGCTCCGACGAGCTTTGTGACGTCGTATGACGTCACAGCTAGTCGAAATGTCTCGAGCGCCTTGACGTTCGAAGTGGCTGATCTCAAGTGTTTTTGATGGTACAACTGCGCTCGCCCCAACGGTCACACCGTACATCATATTATATTTGTCTAATGTAGAAATATTAATTATTTATTCACGTAGAGAGTCGATCTCAGAAAATATTTTGCCAAGACTTCAAAACTTCTTTTTGATAATTTCTAAATTTTTGACAAATGAAAAGGGTTGGGGGTTATGACCATTTTAGACTGTATTGATCTCCTTTGGAAGAAGAGTTCCATATGAAGATCATTCTCTATTCAGAGTTTTCGTTCCCGCTACGCTCCCACATACATGTGTATGTGTACATGTGGGAGTGTAGCGGGAACAACAACTCTGTATAGAGGATGTAAGATGATTTACAAAAAATTATCGAATTTTAAAACAATATTTTTGAAAATGTTTCTTTCTTTGCCAAATAATAGCTGACAACTTAAGTTATTATATCTAAAAAATAAGTTATATACATGTCTCTTCTATTATTTTGTTGACCTTTAGCCTCCTTAACAATCTATGAAAAAATAAATATTATGTTTTCGCCTGCTTTATAAATTATCAGGTCCTTTGATCCGCGCATCTACACTTTAGATCGCTACACAAGGTAAGACCTAACATTTCATGCTGAGTTTTTCCCTACTTCAGAGGAGAGCGTTATTGGTGATCGCCGGTTTATTCGTGGTAGCTTTCGCTACACCGATCTCCAAGACAGATCTAGATAGCAATCTAGATTACTTCTGGCTCCAGTACAAACAAGAATACAAAAAGAACTACTCCCCGGAAGAGGAACCTCTCAGGTCAGCTGATTTCAAATTTGTAGAAAATAATTCCTGGAATTACTTAAACCAGAAGCTGAGTTTGATACGTGAAGGACCAGGGTCCAAATCTGACTTCGAGTAAAGAAAGATAGAACAACTTGGATTTGATTTGAGAGTATCTTTGAAAGTATAAGGGATTTCGGAATGAACTTTGGCAATAAAAAAATTGTTTGTTTCTAAATACATATGCATAGAGAATATATGAATATTTTTAGGGATTCACACATATTTCATTGGTCAAACTGGGCTTCTATCTGTAAAGATGCGCGCCTTTATCTTCATTTAATACGTCCAATTTTTCAGTTGGATTGAAAATAGCTTTATAAACGTCTCGGACATAAACTTGACCTAGTGTGCATGGGGTGTATTTTTTGTGTACATTTTGTTACAAATCATGTTTTGTTCCTTAAAACCGAATCGCCCTGACTCCATATTATTTGTTCTCCTATGTTAGAACGGACACTGCAGATTCAAGAGAAACGATGTTGGCGCCACTGATACCGGATACGTTAAGATTCTTCCCCAACAATCAGAGAGCGCACTTCAGGAAGCTGTTGCTAGCGTCGGTCCTATTTCCGTTGCTATTGACGCGGGTCATAAATCATTCCATTTGTCCAAGAGGGGAGTTTACAGCGAGCCTGCCTGCAGCTCCACCAAACTTGATCATGGTGTGCTAGCTGTTGGTTTCGGATCTAAGGGAAGCGAAGATTATTGGCTGGTTAAAAATAGGTATGACGTTTCTCATCCTATAATATCATTAACAGGTCCAGCACAATACTCTGATAAAGGTATATAGCTTGATAAAGCTACATAGCTTGATCACGGTATTACTTATACCTTGATCAAGATGTTTTATGTAATGAAAATATAAAAAAACAAAACAAGAGGCCCATGGGCCTTATAGGTCACCTGAGCATGATGCAACAACTTTCAAATTATTGAATTTGGTTCATGTTTTAAGCTAGATGCTATGACATTCACAATTTTGAAAGAGGCATCTTGCTAATCATAACTATACACTTAGCAATTGTTTAGTTTGTTTACTTACCGGTAATACCCATAAGCAGGGTAGGGGAACAACAATGCATGTGAACTAATCAGTAATATTCAGCAATAATCAGGAGTGCCCCTACCACACATGAACCCCTGACCCTAGGTCTCCACATTGCACAATTTTTGAAAAGGCACACTTGCTTATCAAAAATGTTTGATTAATACCAAGGAGCAGATTTCAAACAATTCATTTTCAGTAAGTCATATAAGTAAAGCCCCCCTTCTTTGGTATCCCTGACTCAGGGGCCTTGAAATTCACAATTCTGGAAGAAGAGCCCTTGTACATCATAACTATATAAATATAATTCATCTGCTTATTACCCAGGAGTAGAAAATAAGATTTTCATGGATGTAATGTATTATCATTATATAATCATTATAAAGCCACACCCTAACAGCACATCCTAACACCATAACTCCTGACCTGGCCATAAAATTCAGAATTTTGGTAGAAACATTCTTGCTCATCATAACTATGAACTTAATTAGTTTATTTAATACCCAGAAGTAGAGAAGAAGCTTTTCAAAGAATAAATGCCTTTTTACTACATAATCAATAGAGCCCCGCCCTAACACCAGAACCCCTGACCCTGGGGCAATAAAATTCACAATTTTGGCAGAGGCACTCTTGCTCATCGTAAATATGTACTTAATTAGTTTATTTAATACTCAGGAACGGAGAAGAAGAAATAATGCATTTTCACTATATAATCAATAGAGCCCCACCCTAACACCATAATCCCTGATCCTGGGGCCATAAAATTCACAATTTTGGTAGAAGCACTCTTGCTCATCATATCTATAAACATAATTAGTTTATTTGATACCCAGGAGCACAGAAGAAGATTCTCAAAGAATTTATGCATTTTCACTATATAATCAATACAGCCCCGCCCTAACACCAGAACCCCTGACCCAGGGGCCATAAAACTCACAATTTTGGTAGAAACACCCTTGCTCATCATAACTAAGAACATAATTAGTTTATTTAATACTCAGGAGCACAGAAGAAGATTTTCAAAGAATTTATGCATTATCACTATATAATCAATAGAACCCCGCCCTAACACCATAGCCCCTGACCCTGGGGCCATAAAATTAACAATTTTGGTAGAAGCACTGTTGCTTATAATAACTATGAACTTAATAAGTTTATTTAATACCCAGGAGCACAGAAGAAGATTTTCAAAGAATTTATGCATTTTCACTATATAATCAATAGAACCCCGCCCTAACACCATAGCCCCTGACCCTGGGGCCATAAAATTCACAATTTTGGTAGAAGCACTCTTGCTCATCATAACTATGAACTTAATTAGTTTATTTAATGCCCAGGAGCAGAGAAGAAGATTTTCATAGAATATATGCATTTTCACTATATAATCAATATAGCCCCGCCCTAACACCAGAACCCCTGACCTTGGGGCCATGAATTTCACAATTTTGGTAGAGGACTCAATGCTTATTACAATCATACTAACAGTTTGACTGATTGATGTCCAGGAGTAAAGAAGAAGATTTTTAAAGATTGCACTAATTTTAGTGGGTTTTGCCCCACCCCCAGGCCCCAGGGGGGCAGGGACCATGAAATTCACAATTTTTGGTCCCCTTCACCCATAGATGCTGTATACCTAATTTGGTTGAAATTGGTTCAGTGTTTTCAGAGAAGAAGCTGAAAATGTTCAAATGTTAACTCACGACGCACGTCGGACGACGACGGACTAAAACAGAGAGCAATAGGTCACCTGAGTTTACTCAGGTGACCTAAAAATAAATACTCAACGTCGACTTTGGAGTTGTTGAGAGTAAATTTACCCAAGCATGTAAAGGACTCAAACGCAAAGAAATCAGTATAAAAGCATGTCGTGTGAGGAGACATTCTTTTATGCTGTCTTTTTGATACCTGAGTACTTTACAAGCATGAATGAATTTTCTGGCAACAACTCAGAACTCTACTTAAGTACTTTTTTTTTTTTTTTTTTTTAGAATTTTTTGTGTATTTACATTACATGAAATACCTTAATCAAGGTATTTGTAATACCTTGATAAAGCTATATCGCTTATCAAGCTATATATCTTGATCAGGGTATTGTGCTGAACCTGATTAAGTTATTCATAAATGTATTGTATACTTGAAATTATTATAACTTAAACAAACGTTTTTTTTCTGTTTCTATAGCTGGGGAGAATCTTGGGGAATGGAGGGATATATTATGATGGCCAGAAACAAGAAGAACATGTGCGGAATGGCCACCCATGCTAGCTATCCCTAAGTGTAAACATTAGACAATCTCACTAGAGGGCATGTCTAACCATATGCATCATCCGAATTTACTCCACATAATTTTTCATGTCGTTGTTTTGTTCTGTTTGATTTTTTATCTTTTTTACGAGGGATTAATAAAATATAAACATTGGGTATGACTAGCTTATCCTTTTTATCTTACATGTAGTTAATTGATATATCATCAATTTGAAAAGGTAGTTGTTGTATTGTGATAATAATCCATGGCATCGTTTATTCAAGCAACGGTCCGCAGTCTGCATAAAATATACTTTACGTGCTTCGAACTATGCACTTAGATGTAGCTCCTGTCTTTTGCGATTGGTTGAAACTGCACAATATGAAATATTTCATTGTTTTAAATGCTGTAACGGGAAAGGGAGATTACTAGTATTTACTATGATATAGATTTCTTAGGATGGAGAGATCACGGGGCATTTTGGTTTATTCTGTCCGTCTGTCAACTTTAATCTTGCCCATAACTATTGCACTGTCAAGGGTAAGGCTTAAATATTTGACATGAGTGTTCATAATTAGAAGACATTTCCTTTGGTACAAAAATTTTTTGATCATGTAATCTCAACTGTGACCTTTGAGCTACATTTTAAACCTTTAAAACATCTTACTAGTTTATATCACTTCCGTCTACGTTCCATTCCTGAATTGTGTTACCATCAGGGGCACAGTGTTTCACAAACACATCTTGTTAAGACTTTTTTGAATCTTAAAAAAAGTGACAAAACGAACACAGGGGAAACGTATTTATTTTTGTCCGTGTTTTGCATATTTTAGGGCTTATGTATACATGTAAAAGATCTTATAGGAATAAATACTAAGCCAAACAGAATCAGGGATAATACACGTTGAAAGGTGAAGTACAGGTTACTGTGCAAGGTTGTTGCCAAAACGGAACTGCCAGAAAATGCTAAAATACCTTAAATCATGTACCTTTTACTTACTGTCGTCTTTCAATGTTCTGTGTGTAGTTTAGAATATCAGATGTCAACGTTTTCGTTAATCATATGCTTTTATTGTGCTGTTTTTCTGATGAACGCACGATTTAAGGACATTTTTTTTTATTTAATGAATCGAATAATATGACTTTAATTTTTATAAAAATGAAGAAATAAAAGAAATTGAATTTCACACAGCATCGACATAATTCAAAAAAACGTTTTTCCCTAAATACTTATTTCTACCTCTATAAAATAAAAGAGAATAAGGGAAATTTTACAAAAGTAATGACCATAAGACTATGGTTTAATCCTATATAATAAACCTAACCGGAAGTTGAAATGGATCCCTGGTCAAGTCTTAAAAATTAACGGATTTGGAGGAACGAATATCAATAAAGGGGCTTGATAAAGAACGTCCTGAAAACTTCATTACAGTATACAGGGAAATTTTTGCCCCCGTTTTATTTTCGCCCCTTTCGCCCCACCTTCATTAGGGCGAATTTAAAACGGGACGAATTCGAAAAAATCAGTGAAATTCTTAAACAAAACTCACGATTGGGCGAATTTAATACGGGCAAATTTGTTTTACGGTGTGAAAGGACGAAAATAACACGGGGCGAAAATAACCCCGTATACAGTATACAAAAAAGTACATCTTGAAGCAAACCATATATATGCATTGTTAAAAATGTTAAGGTAGGTTAACAATTGGTAAAATTAATAAAATACGAAATTTCATGGAGGGAGGTTGAAATTGAGTTATACGTAGATAAGCGAAATTAATATGTAAATAATCATTACAGAAAGAATTTTGAATACATTTTTACTCTTCTGAAAAAAAAAATAGAAAAAAAAATTATTTCCATTTTTTCATTGTTCTCGAAGGTGACCATGTATTCAGTAACAGAAGATAATAAAATCTATTTCCTGCGTTAAAGTCCCTCCAAAATCCCTTATTTACCCGCCCTTGTTTGTTTCTCGCCCACTATGATCCACCAATCAGAACGCGGTAATTCCGCATAAATTAAATTATACGCATAAAGGTGTGACGAACTGCAATTTATCTTTGGCTATTTGAAGGAGATTAACACACATCATGACTAATTATAACACGTCTCTTTCTCTTTCTATATCGTCAATTCTTATTGTCAATTCCACTAGTGCGCGCCAACGTTACTTCGGTTAAAGGTCAGGTAAACCAAGCGTGTCGGGTTTATGCTTCAATAACTCATGTATGATGATTATTCCCATTATACCTTCTAACACAAGATGAAAGATGGCGCATAAATTTGTACTCTTGATAATATCATTATGTGGTGAGTAATTACATAATTTTTATCCGTTTTTATTATTTTCGTCTTCAATTCAATTTGGAAAGATTTTTTTTTAATTAATGTGTTTTGATATTTATCAATGATCTTTGATTGTAAAAGCTATGCTGAATACGTTTCTTGCGTTGATTAAAATAAATGGGGAATTTGTTATTTTTTTTTTTTATTATTTCAAATAATTTAAGTTTTACCAATGATCTAAGACTGTGGATTATTTTCTGAAATGTGTTTTATTACGACATGTTTTGTGTTCTATTATGACATGATTGTTTCTTATTTAGTGTACTTGACCCATTTACAGTTCAATTCTTTTCTCGTGAATTAGTTATATAGCTAATAGTTTGGTTCTGATTTTTAAAAAGAAGGCTATAAATAACTTCTAACGGCAAATAATTATCATGTGGTCCAGCGTTGTTTCTTAACCTATTTCGAGTATGCTGAATCCGAAAAAATATGCTGGCCTTCATGAAAATAGCGCTCAAGAGGTCACAATGGCGATTCAAAATGGCGGACATCCAATTTTTCTAATTTTCTCTTAATGGCGTTCAAACAGGGGAAATAATGTGTAAATATCTCATTGAATGTAATTCAACTTTGAAAAATGATAATAGATTGCTAGTATTATTACTTTAACTCGGATAATTTAGTCGTTTCTACATTTAATTCAAATTTTCTTCGATTTATTTGTCTATTGTTTCTATATTCTGCTTTGTTCAAGATTTCACATTTGCAAATATCCATATACTGCAGATCTGTATTTTTTCCTCTACATCTCACTATGCTACAACTGAGTGATGGTGCAACTGTAAGTAATAAGTCAAAATGTCGATTC